ATCAGTACAAAGAACAGAAGAATGGGGGATGTGCAAAACATCTGCCCAAGAAGCAGAACTAATGAATATAGAGCCAATAGTAAATCATTATGAGAATTTGATATGTAACGAAGATAAAAAAAATTACTACTATAAAAGTACTAGCTAGACTCAAAATACAAGATATCGAATTAGAAACCTTAGCGTTGGTAGATACATGATGTACAAGAGGTAGAATAATAAACAAAAAGATCTTACCACAAGAATTAATACGAACCTTAGATAAGCCAGACTGCAATGCAAATGGACGGAACGTATAATACATATCAACATTATATAGGAGAGACTCAAGTAAGTTTTGTAAATACATGTAATGAATTATATAAACCAATGTACACCCTCAACAGGGTATGTGTAATAGACATAAACATAAATGTAGATTTTGTATTAGGATTAAAATTGATGATACAAAGCAATGGAGGAAACATTGATTGTAAGAGATAGGGTAATATTCTTTAAAAATTTAACCTATACACCAGTACGAACTATCAATTTTGAAACAAAAGGAAGACAAACTAGTATATCTCCCAGCACCATAGACAACTTACATACATGTTGTAAAGACTGTAAAAATAAAAGTCAATGTTGTAAAAACCAAGTACATAAAGAACAAGACGAAGGAGAAGAGGAATAATATGATATAAGGGAAAAGAATTCTACCCTGATAGAAATAGAAAGTGAATTCTATAATTTTCAAACAAGAATCGACAAGATAGAAACAATTAGAAGTCCTAAAGACTTAGACAATATAGTAAACATATTAGATGGAATGGAGATAATAGAAGAAAAACCCTTAAAACATTGGGAAAATAATAAAGTAGTATGTAAATTAGATATCATAAATCCAGAAAACATAATAAAGACAACTGCTATTGAAGCAACTAACCAAGATCTAGAAGATTTCGGTGTACAAATAAAAGAATTATTAAATTTAGGAGTAATACGGAGATCTACTTCAAAACATAGATCGGCAACATTCATGGTGAGAAATCATAGTAAGATAGTAAGAGGTAAAACAAGAATGGTAATTACTACAAAAGACTTAATCATAGTACAAGAACATATGCATATAAATTATCAGATAAAAATGAATTAATCAACCGAATCCAAGGAAAGAAGGTGTTTAGTAAATTCGACTGTAAGTCAGGATATTGGCAGGTTAAAATGCATGAAGAAAGTATCGAGTGGACAACATTCACTTGTCCTAAAAGACATTTTGAATGGCTAGTCATGCCATTTGGACTAAAAACTGCCCTGCCAATATTTCAAAGAAAAATGGATACTATATTTGGAGACTATAAAAAGTTTGTTTTAGTATATGTAGATGTCAGTTTAGTATTCAGTAAAGACATCAAAGATCATCTAGGACATCTACAGACAATATTTAGATTATTTGTACAAAATGGAATAATAGTAAGTAAAAAGAAAATGGAATTATGCAAGAACCATTTAATTTTTTAAGAGTAATATTTGGAGACGGAAAAGTTAAATTACAACCACATATAGCAACAAAAGTATTAGACATGCCTGATAAATTAGATAATACAAAAGACTTACAAAAATTCTTAGGATTGATAAATTATGCTAGAAACTTTATTAAAGATTAGGAAAAATAGCCGGACCATTATATTCAAAAACAGGAAGCAAAGGGCAAAAACATTTTAACCTAGAAGATATAAAATTAGTACAACAAATTAAAGAAAAAGTTAAAAAAATTCCAGAACTAAATATACCACTAGAAACTGATTATTTAATAATTGAGACAGATGGCAGTTTCCAAGGATGGGGAGCCGTATTAAAAGCCAAAACAAATAAATACAGTGATAAGACAGACGAAAAGATTTGTGCCTATCAAAGTGGAAAATATAAAGAGAAATGAAATATGAGCAGTATAGATGTAGAGGTTTTAGCAATAATATATGGTCTAAATAGCTTTAAGTTATATGTTTTAAATAAAATGAAGTATTAGTAAGAACTGACTGCGAAGACATAGTTAAATTTCATCAAAAAATAAACCAAAAAGCTAGTAGCAAGAGAAGATGGCTAAACTTTATTGATATCTATCTATCCAAATGTTATATTTGAATATATAAAAGGAAAAGATAACAATCTATCAGACCAGTTAAGTCGACTAAATATAAAAATGACCTAACTATACATTTGTTTCAGCATGAGACCAGCAGGTCCAACTCCAATAGACAAAGGCAAAGGAGTAGCCTCAGCATCAGACACATACGCTCAGACTCTATTAGGTAATATGAAGTTTAGACCCTAGACAACATCAGTAGAAATGATGGAACACATGTATTTAGGTAAGCACAATTTAATTTGTTATCCAAAGTCAAATTTATCATTTAGAAAATTGCCAGAATGTGTGTTAGATAGACCTCAGAAATGTTTGGTAGACAACTTATGGATGACATATAATAAGAAAGACAGTAAATATTTCATAGCTTCATTAAATGAATTATGTCAATATTTTACCGATAAAAGTAGAGAAAATAAATTTAAATATTATGTTGTAATACATGGCAAAACTAATGGTATTTTTCAAACTTGGATAGAAGTATTAGACTCCATAAACGGGGTTAAAACCCCTCTTTTAAAAGGATTTAACGATTTTACTGAAGCTCTAGATTATGCAAGATAGATATTTGGTTATATCTCCCCAGCCCTCAGGCAAAATCCACAAAAGACCCCTCAATACAATATCCAAAAAGACACCAATAAAATAATTTTCTGTGACCACTGTTCCTCGATGACCGAAGCCTTCAAAAGATTAAATGAAAAAGTCGAAGCCTTACTCCAAGAAAATGTCAAATTAATGGAGCAGGTAAAATTATTTAAAGGTAAGGATTCCTCTCAAAAGGCTCCCGCCGGTACACAGATTTCAGCACCGAGTTTTCCATCTCAAGATAAAATGGATAAGAAGGGTATGCATTCCCAAACGAATGCAATAAGATCTACCATATTAGATGATAAAGATACGGCTAGTCCGGTTTGTATGGTAGCGGGTAAAGACACCTCTAATCCGTTTATGGCTGTCACTTTGCCAAAAAGTGAAGAAGAAAGTTCTTCATCCAGACGGCGACTACCCAGATCCTTTATCCCAGTAGAGACACTAAAAAAGAAAACTATGCTCCACAAAAAGAAAAAAAATAATAAAATAGAGAGCATAATAAAACAGACTTTAGAGAAGTTTTTTCAAAAGGGATAGGACAAACATGTAATTACTACAGAAAATTCAGATCCAAGTGAAGATAGACTGATACCAGATACAGACCGAATAAATACAAGCTCGAGAAGAGACAGTCCAACAAATAATAGTCATAGATCCCCTAGTTCCGGAGAAGAAAATTATGGAGAACATTCATATTACCAAGACGCCCAAAATCCGAATGAAGATGATGATTGTGGAATGAGCTTCGATTCTATCGCTTTGCACAACTTGGATACCTAAAGACGAAGAACGCAAAAAGACAAACAAGATGAAGACAATAAAATAAAGTGTGAATAAAGGTGTGTGCTATGTGGGTATGGCCACATTTGTCGTGTGAGTGCTTACTTTATAACTATCCTCTAAAAAGGAAAAAACTGATAAGCACACGTCAAATAAGTGACAATAATGCATGTGACAATGGGTCCCAAATATGTACCCGACGTGTATTATTCAATCTTATCTTTAGAGTGTCGGCTAATTTTAAGCCACTACTTTTTATCTTTTTATCCTTATAGTGTCGGCCAAATTTAGGCCACTACTTTATTTCTACTTTAAACCTTAAAACCTCTATATAACGAGACTTCGAGGAAGAAAAGAAGGACACACAACACATTTCCCTTATCAATGTTTCGACAAATCCTCTACACGACCCAAAACAAAGACCACTAAAAACCCTCTTGTAATATTAAGTTTGTGTAAAAGTGTGCATTTGAGCTTGTAAGAGTCAGTCAGGATTCCTGAAAGGGAAATCTCTCTCCGTCCAAATCATGTAAGTCTCCTATGTTTTCCTGTATTTTTCCCAAAAAAATAATCTTCTATGTAAATTATATTTGTATTATACCATGTTATTTTTTCTTGAACTACCCTTAGTATATGGTTAAACTCTTAATTTCTTGATAACAACGATGGAATAGCCTCTAAATTCCTAGAATGTTTTACAGGCATTAAGAAGTCCGCCATGATTAAATGACATTGTGTGCCATTTCCGGGGTGGGGTTAAAGAAGAAGTTATCAAGAACACAGGTTAAGAGAGAGATATGAACGGGGTAATATAAAAAGGGGAAATATATATATATAGCAAAAAATCCACGACAAACATGATAGGACACAGCGTGAGAGGGAGTACTGAGTAGGATTTAAAAAATCAATCTGCATATTTATTCTAACTCGTTATTTTTAGTTAATATATATATATATATATATATATATATAATTTTCTCTCGCTTTATACAAACACAAACACATTTTATACATTTGCGTTTGTATGAAGCGAAAGAGGCGAGCGAGATTCACCAGAAGAGATACGATATAACAACAGTTTGCTATGGGGTACAATTAAATCAAACTATGGTTATAACATTTAATTTGAGTTAATAATTTGCTATTATATACAATTTTCCCTTTAAGAAAAGAGGGCTGACCCGATAAAGTCCGTAGCCCACGTACTTGTGGGCTAAACCAATCATTTTTTGGTCCACACCAAAAATAGGTTAGCCCGACCTGATCCGTCAAATTTTAAAGCCTGTATAAATTAATTCGAATTAGATAACCCAGCCCATATTGATAGCTCTAGGGCCTATGCTAGCACGGGGGACATGTGTCTAGTCCCATATAAGTGAGAGGATCCAAACCCGGATTTGTTTGCATGAAATAAACCGTATTTGATAATGAAGGATACATCCGTAATATTTGGTAGTAATCTGATTATAGGTTATATGAATTAAAGTCCAAAAGGTCGGTAATCTCAAATATATATGCGAAAAAGAGAAGCTAAATCGCCGTGAAGCAGCAGCTATTTGCTGATAAACCCTAGGTGATTTCAGGTTCATCCTGAAGGTAATTTCTTTTCTCATTTTTTGATTAATACTTCAATTCTAATTGTTGTTTTTTATTTTTTTGTGAATTTTCCATTTTATGATCGGTTTTTTATTTGAAACTTGCTAAGGAATTCCATTGAATTTTTTCTTTTTAGGATTTTGATTTTTTCTGGTAATAATTTGGATGTGAATTGATGTTTTCATGTGTTGTTTCTGGGTGAATTTGTGATCAGGCCACAACATTCTGTAGTGGAGTATCATCAGGCGTGTGAAAATGCTTAGCTGCAAGGTAATTAGGGTTTATCGAATGTCATTGATTTTTGTTTTCTTGCTCTGTTGCTGGCATTGATTTAATCACCTTTTGTTTATCAACTGTCATTGAATTGGTTGCTTTCTTTTATAGTATAAGTGTAAGTTAGAGTTATTTTCCTTAAAAAGGTGAGTTTTTTTTAATGCAAGAATGACATACATAATACATTGGTAAATTGATATGATAGTTGATTGATGAGGGCAGAACACCAATACTGAAAATAAAGCCTGTGCTAGTCAGATATAGTATAGTTAGGGCTCGAACCCCCACAGAGAACCTAACCTTTAAAACTAGGGCTGAAACAAATTAATTGAACTCATTTTCAAAGAAAGAAGACTAAAAAAGAAAGAAGAAGTGAATCACCTAGGAATAGGAAAGGAATGGATCTTCACATGTACAATTCATCTTTTGCTAAATAATAAGAAATAAATTATTCCCCAACAAGGACGTGTATTAGGTCCTTGCTGATTCCTTGCAACATGGTGCATCTCTTAATAAAGGGGCGTGAAAAGTGGAGACTTTGGGACTAAATAAGCTGTCAAATCAATTTATTCTTGGTAGTTGAAACTTGAAAGCAATTTAAATAGAATAATTTGTTCAAACATCATCAAACAAATATTTAAAGTGATCTAAAGTTTTTAGCTAAGACTAAAGAGATTTACTGAAGGAAGAAAGCAGAAACCTGATTTTAGATGATTAGTGTAGATTTCGCTCTTTGATTGAAAACATAAATATTAATTAGTTTCCACAGATATAATTGTCTATTTCTGTCCCCTATATGCTAAGTTTTCTCTCAAATAACTATAACTTAAAGATACCAGAAACACATTGAGAATTCAATTTATGTGTGTGTTTAGAAACGGCATATTTTAGATAACAATGAAGCTTCTCTCGAATACTCCAACTCTGATAACAGTCTCCTACACTTGCTCAAAAAAAAAAAAACCTTACTCAAAAAAACAGTCTCCTACAACCAATTCTTCTCTCAAATTAAACAGCTTGTTAGAGAACCACTAGTGAAAATACTTCAAGCACACGATTCCCTCTGAATTCCTCTCTTGAGTAAGTTAAGATACAATCTCGATGAATTCACCATAAAAAATACACAATAGGTATTAATTCAAGAAACTAAAATCTAAACTAATACATCATCAAGTTTCCATAAAAACCGTTACTCCATAAAAGAGTTCATATCATGAATCATAGAAATTGAACAGCTAGATTGCAAACCAATTAGGATAATGTAATTTCTCTTCCAAGTTCCTTGGCTGAAATCTGCAATATACAGTCCGTAATTAAGATCCCTAACTTGTGGAACAAATACGTGTACTTGAGGATATGTCAAAAGCACCAAAATATCCTAAACGTACAACTTCTACGTTGGTGCTTTGGTGCTGGATTTTGTACATTCTTTTCACACAATACTCCGTATGCGCCTCCATTTAATCCACCCCACTCCAATACAATGTGTGACATCCTCGGCGACCTCACCATTTCCAGGCAATAAGCATTTGGTCAAGGGAATTGGAATAACTATAATCAAAATATATGCAATCATGTCAATCAAGTTAAATAGCCAGTTTAAAATACTGATTTAGATGAAAAAATAATAGTTTTATGGCTTTTGAAAAAAAAAACTAACTTTTGGGTTTTTCTTAATCAATAAAAGTTCCTTCATAACATTTTAAAATAATTAATGTATCAATTTACCAACTGTATTTACCGTCTGCTGTTGCACTCTTATAGACAGAGCCCATAGGTAATGAGGCGCACACATTGGCACCTTAGTGTCCACACTGAAGCGCCACTGAAGCCAGGAAGCACACAATTTGGCTTTAAGTGAGTTTTCAGGGCTGTAGTGTGCCTCAAACGAGTCTTTAAGAGAATGATTGGTCCAACCTCTTCCCGTCTATGAGGAGCAAAGACTATGGAGTCTTGTGATAGTTGATCTCATCTCATCTTCTCAAGCAAGACAGTCTCCTCATTGTAGTCCAACCTCTTCCCGTCTACGAGGAGCGAGGACTATGGAGTCTTGTGATAGTTGATCTCATCTCGTCAGAGTTTGTTATAGTCTAATAAAAAAGTACTGCGACGTGAAGTAGGAAATTAATCTTGGCATTATCTCATATAATGTCCTTCTGGGGTACAATATGGTATAAGGGAACTGGATGCACCTGTCTTTTTTTATTGACAAATAATTTTCTCTTATAGGATAAATTGGCACATTTTCGAATAAAGGAGCTCAAAGATGTGCTTACTCAACTTGGTCTCTCAAAGCAAGGAAAGAAGCAGGTTTGAACATTTTATTTGATTGTTCGTGGTTTTATATGTTGAACTTGACTTCTTTTTAATTTCATTCTCATATTTCCTGATGTGCCAAACAGTTTCCTCTTACTTTGTTACATCTGTGTTGTGTTATAGCCATATTGTTCTGTATAAGTCCAACAATTTGTTTTTTGCTTTCTAAGTTATTTATATCATGATCTTTCTAGGGTTTCAATTACATTTTATTCAGTTGGTCCTTTTCATCAGTTGTTGACAAGAATGTGTAGTAAGACTTTGGTGTTGTCTACTATTCCTTTGAATAAGGCCTTACTTTTGGAATCTTGTTATCAGTTTTAGTACGAGTGAGAGTATGCTTCTTTAATTTTGTGGGGCTATTTTACTTTAATGATTCACAGGTTTCCTTTCTTTATAACAAGTTGGTTTTCACTGTAACCCAACTTTGAATTAGTAATTATTTTTTATTATCATGGGTATGTGTCTGACAGTCGTATTTGTCATGATGTAGGATCTTGTTGATCGCATATTAGCTATTCTTTCAAATGAACGAGGTGAGGAAGCCACATATCTTGCGTGGAGAAATTCCAGGGAACTGTTAGACCTATTCTACTTGTAGATATTGTTTTATATAGTTTTACTATCTATGTTTGTTCTCAACTATTTTTTCGTTCTTCATACCATTCCTACAAGTGATATGCACTCATTTTTTGGGTGACCTTGTCAAACTTTGTCTTTGTAGTAAATTCTTATAATGTCAAGAAATTCATTTTAGTGTATCTAGAACTGCCCTTCCTCCAAAGGCTAACCTTTCCTATTTCTTATGTACTTTTTTTAGTGTGACCTCATCAAACTTTGTCTCTGTAGTTCATTCATGTACATCAAAAGATCTACTTTAGTACGTCTGGAACTCTCCTCCTCCTAAGTGTAGGGATGATAAATGGGCCGTTTGGACTGAAGTTTGGTGGGTCAAGATGGGCTGAACCAATAGATGAGTTAATGCCCAACCTTGCCCGAAGCCTGTTTGTGCTTAAGATGATGGGTCATCACCCAATCTATTCAATTTGACTCAACTTTTATTATTTCCTTTTAGAGATAGAAATAAAATTTTCAATAATTCTATTGTTAGGAAATAATAATGTTGTTTTAAAATCAAATATAGGGGTTTAAATGGGTCTTGATCTATACGGTTCATTGCCTTAAGATTTTGGATTAGATATTCAGATTTTCACATAATATCAGGGCAAGACTTGGGAAACTTGTTCCTATGTAGTGTCTTTATCCTTCTAGCTCAAATTGTATATAGTCTCTACCTGTCCTATTGTTGTGGGTGGACTAGTACTTTAAAAAGCAAAGGCACAAATTATTTACTTATCATGGGACTAGATGGGAATCTTGAGGCCAGGGTGTAAGTCTCACAAATTTCTAATTTTATTACTTTTAGAAATAAGATTTTGAAAATATATAAATTAATATTTTCTTTTATCATTTATAGATAAATACATTCATATGTTTATTATTTTAAAAAATTAACATTAAAAATATACATGTTAATGTATAAAAGTAATAGAATTTGACATGTGAAGCTTTTCCATTTTGCCAATTGTGAGCCTTTTCATATAGGTCGGTGTTGTCTTTGTTACTATTTTGTTATATTCTAAAGAGTAATAAAGTGTTTCTATCTAGACATTGAAAGCGTGTTTAGAAATCCAGACTCCAGAAGCATCCTCTCGTCTTGCCTCTTCTATGTGACTCAATGCCCTCACTCTTCTCCGGGAGAGTTCTCTGGTGTCTCCTTTGCTTCCTTCAAACAATGGCTTCCTAGATTTTAGTGGTGTTCTTAGGTTATTCTCTTTTATACGGGCTTGTGAGGACTTGTCCTGTCTCCCTAACTATGTCCTCTAATTAGATTGAAAGATATTTTTAGATCAGGGTGAACTTTTGGTAATTAGGTTTTCAACCTAATGGTCAAAATCTATTGAATTAGATTGGCGCTAAATATCAATTAGGGAGATCCAGTAATGAAATTGGGAAGTGTTACTGGCTTTGCTATGTAAGTAATGTGCAAGGTGCCATTCGGTTCCACCTCAATAGTCTAGGCGTTCGCTTCAAAAAACACTGCGCTGGACTCCTTTCTATCAACTCATTAGAATTGCCCTTGGTTCATTTCTCTTTCAATTTTGGGAGCAACTCACTTTGCTTTTATCACACTTTTGCCTATATAATCTACACTCAGTGCTCTAGGCCCACTTTTAGCTTGTAGAATCACTTCAGTCCTCTAATAAAAACCAGTTGACATGCTGAAAGTAAAGAAAAAGTAAAAAAATGAGTTATTAATCCTTGTTAAGACTTAGAAGCCAATTACACATGCGGGAGGATGTCAGAATATATAATATTTCCTAGAGCGGATATATATGGGCATCCAAACAAGCTTATAAAAGTTTTACTACTTCATTTATTGCCTTAAGATTTTCACTGAGATGCTTACTCTGATAGATTTCTAGTTTACAATAATGACAAACTTCCCTTTTTGAAATTTGATTACTAAATAAACTATACCTTTCCTTTCAAAATTTAATAACTGAGTAACCTCTACCTTTCCTTGGACCCTGCACAAATGTCAGATGCTTCGTGCATTGGGTTGCTCTTTAAATTTTTTATGTACATAAGCAACAATGTTTTTGTGTTTTTAACAACAAACCCAGTGTAATCCCACAAAGCGGGGTCTGGGAAGGGTAGGGTATGCATACCGTACCCCTACCTTTAAGGTAAGAATTACCCACAATTTGAAAAAAGATTTTGCAATTACAAAACTCCATCAACCCTGAGTGAACACAAATACTTTGTTAAAGTTTTGTGACAAATAATTATGAAGAGAAAAGGTTACAAAGGTTGAAAAAAGCACCAATTGAATCTAAGTGTACGCCTTGGAGGTGGCTCCTGGTCTTAGCTCTCTTGACAAAGGTTGAGGGATTTGAGGCTATAAGTTTGAGTCCTACTCCAAGTGAACCAAGCCTAGTATTGAAGTGGAGAAGGGTAGAGGTGTTGGCCCACTGTGCTTGGACTAAGGGTTGACTCTAGATGGATTTCTCAGTATCAAAGAAAGAAAAATAGTATATGCTTGGAGGCACTCAATGACAAATTAATATATGTCCACAAGGGGAAAATGGGACAAGGAAATAAGTTTGTCTACAAATCCTTCTTCGGGGTGGCCTAGTGGTTTGAGCTTGGGACTTCCATGTTGGAGGTCTCAAGTTCGAAACCCCTTGCCAGCGAAAGCAAGGGATTTGCCTTCTGGGTCAAGCTCGTCGCACCAGGCTTGCCTAGTGCGGGTTACCTCTCCTATGTGGTTTGCGAGCTATTGCATAGGAGCGGGGGTTTTACCCTGTGCGCTCCCAAAGGGTAGCGGCTGCGGGTTTCCCTTGTCATCAAAAAAAAAAAAATCCTTCCATTGAATTTTGAGTTTACTCGTGCAAAAGAAAAGACTGAGATAGATACTACATTGATTGTGATTATCATGCTTCTTACTTAGCTGGGTCCCTTTCTGTGTGCACACAATTCGGGTTGAGAGTTCCTTCTATTTTGTTATTTTATGTTCAACTTTTATTATACTCGAATGTCCTGTTTTTAATGTAGGATTTAATTCCTTTCATATTTGTGCAACAAACCAAACCATATTTCTAAGTGTAGCCTATGAAACAACTAATACTAATTTTGTTACTTTTTGCTTGCCTCGGTTATCCTTTGAGTGCACAATTAGAGTAAAGAGTTCCTCCGTCCTTTTGTGTAGTTTTCTATGTGAAATGCTTGCTATACTTTTTTAGTATCCTGCTCTTAGTTGTGGTATTTGTTGACTTTCATGCTTGAGCAGAAAACCATGTTCTTAGTCGTACTGTTGTGAATAGCGAATGCTAACATATTTATGTGATTTCGAACAGTTTCAGGAATGTGTGCAAAGAAAAATAGTGTTGGAAAGGAAGAGGTTGTCAAACTTGTTGATGGAATTTACAGGTATAAAACAGCCCTGATCCTGAGTACACTTAAGTAACAGGAGTGAAGGTTCTTTTATAGGGATTTACCGGGAAATAAGCTTGTATTACTTCTTCATTTCAGACTTCCATTTGCATCAATGCGACATGATTATGTGTAATTCATTTTGTCTTTGTTAACTTAGATGAAACAGACATGATAATTTTTTACCTTGTACACTTTACTCAGGAATTCTTTGATTTTTTTCCATAGTAATATTTGTTGCTTCTTCCAGAAAAATGCAAGTGAATGGGGCAACTGACCTAGCATCTAAGTCGCAAATTGTCTCAGACAGCGGTAATGTAAAGTTAAAAGAGGAAATTGAAGATACTTACCAGATGGAGATTCGATGTCTCTGTGGAAGCTCGCTACAAGCTGAAACGATGATTCAGGTTTCTCTACTCTTCTGTGCTGATCCTTTCGTCAGCCCTAATTGTGAAAATACACTTGCACATGCAGAAGTATCCTGTGTATATTGCCCTGATTGAGGAAAGGCTCCTCTAATCTTCAGATTATCTTTCAAACAAAGTGTGTAGTAAATTTTGTATGCCAAACATCTTCAATTGTACAAGGTTTTTCTAGTCTAATATTGGCCTCTACCAATATTGAGATTTGAGATGTTTTATTGTTGACCTTTGTTATATTCTATGAGCATTATTATGGTTTGAATGTAGACATATTTTCATCTTCTTCGTCGCTGCATGGCTGTGATTTGTGCAGAAATTATGTGTTCATTATTCTATTTCTGTTGCAGTGAGGGGTATATGCGTTCCTTGTATGTGATGATGTATCAATATATGGTGTCATCCCTAGTATTTAAAGCTTCTGTTTCTTTTTATTCAATACATTTCATTTTTGAGTCTAAAATGGAATTTTTCATGCAGTGTGAAAATATAAGATGCCGCGCATGGCAACATGCAAGCTGTGTCATCATTCCGGAAAAACCCACAGAAGCGGGTTCTCCTCCAGCTTTACCTGAAACTTTTTACTGTGAATTGTGCAGATTGAGTCGCGCAGATCCGTAAGTTGTCACTTCTTATTCTGTTTACTTAGCTTCATCTGATTTTCTAAACCATAGGATGCTACAGTGCAAGTACAGTACATTCTGTTTTCTTCTTCTTCGTTAAACATCATAGTCCATACGGTCATGCATATTCAATTATACTTTCTTCCTTTGTTCCTTTTTGGGATTTGGTGGTTGCAGTTGTGGGAGACGGGTTGGAGAATTTGGCTTTAAAGAGCCTGCAGATTAATCTGTGACAGAGCAAGTTATTGCCACTTCATATTTATATCCTTGTTGTAGGTCTGATATCCTTAAGCATAGGATTTAGATGTTCAGGATTTTCCGAGCAGGGAGCTTTTCAGCTAATTTGGTTTTGTTAAGTCATCACTGTTACTAGATGTCGATAAGCGGTGTACAGAAGATGTGGGTGCTAACCTGGTGATTGCCAGTGTGGGAGTAAAATCTTAAAAGAGAGGCTGGCGTAGTGGTGTTAATTGTACCCAGAACTGACACTTCATTTTCTGTGCATATATATACTCAAGTGTTGCCTTGTTCTTTACATGATTGTAAGTGCTTTGACCTTCACTAATGGGATTATTTATATGCAGGTTCTGGGTGACGCTGTCAATGCCTTTATTTCCTACTAAGTGGGCTGTCACTAGTGCACCTTTAGATAGGTGAGTTACTTGTATCCTTTTAGTCTTGTGAAGCTATTATGTCTAGGAATAGGTCTGCTGCTGTTCCTTCTTGTTTGGATATAAGTTTACCTTGTTTGTGTTATTAATTTCTTTAAAGCAAGTCTTTTTTCTTCAAAATCCTAAAGCACAACAAAGGTGATAAGGTCATGAAGCAAAAAGCAAGAAGTGATGCACATAGTTTTGGACATTTTACAATTCGATACATATATGAATTTAGTACTACAGTAATAACATTTCAGTTAAAAAAACTAATCTCATCATCTGATGTCGATTTGCAATAATGTCAATATTAATCCAGCTTTTCAAAGTTTAGATTCAAAGAATTGACTGCTCTTGTTGTGATCACTTTCCACGTCATTGTTTGGAACACACACTTGTGTAAAGTGCATGGCTTTGCCCATGAAGTGATGACCGCTCACTTCGTATTGCTTCGTTGTTTGAATCGACGAACTTATGGCTTTTAATTACACCGCCTTGAACTGTGTCAACAAAGTCAGAGTAGACAGTTTTTAATGCCTATTTTGGTGGTTATTAGAAAGGAGAATTTTGTTTCTTTCCCTCGTACAGATGGGATAGGTTGGGGTTTTTTTCTAGCATAACAGGGTACTATTCTAGTTGTCTGATGCAATAGAGAGGCATAAAGACGGAAATAATTGGACACGATCTTATCTTTATCTCTCCCAGTGATGGGTTTGGTATTTGAGTGATTAAAGCACTTTGAAATGGGCTCATGACACGGGCTTAATCTTGCATCTTTTGTGTATGCATAGTTAGTATATTATTAAATGACAGATCTTCTGTTTGTATTTGTATCTACACCATGTCAGGTCCGAAGTACCAATTAAACATGAAAAATATCTGAAAATGTAAGATTGACATCATCTAGAAATATGTTACTAATTTTAATCACATTCAGTTACATCCAAGTCATGTTGTGGCATTTAATGTTACTAATTTCAATCACATTCAGTTACATCCAAGTCATATTGTGGCATTTAATGTAGGGATAACACATACATACCCCATCAACTTGTCCCGAATTTTCAACTACATACCTAAACTTTGCAGGGATCTTATTATCTCCTTAGACTTCTCCGAAGTAGAATAAATACTTGCTTTCTATGGACAACCAGATTTGGTGTTGAGTGTTGTAAGAGACGGCAGTCACACATGTATTTTACCATTTAAAATTTTCCCCATTTTTTCTCTTCTTTAAGACCTTCACTATCACAACAATGCCCATTTTTTCCACGCACTATATGCAAATGCACAAGGCACCATCTTCATCCCTCCACTCTCGACACATCACAACATCTCAACCACCAATTTTCTATACCTAAAGCCCCATCCCATTCGTCTTCCTATACACACCCATTGATGAGTGATAACCATGCACAATAAACCACCCAGCAAAATGCTCATTGCCATATCCACCACAATATCTTCACCACACCCCAGCAACCCATCTCTTATTTCACTTCAAAGCTGCACCTTTTCCTTCACTGTCATAACCAACATCCATCCACACGTACAAAGACACTATTCACAAGAGGATTCTTCCCATTTCCATACTGGAATGGAGATCCTTCTATAGAGTTTTCTGGCAATTGATTTTCCATTTGACCAAGTCTGCAGAATCATTTTAGATCCGATTCAAGGGAGTTTTTTGAGGGGTGCTGTAGAGAATAAAAAGGAAGGAAAAAGGTCTCGCAGGAGAAAATTTTTCTGGTCAAAGTTTCTTTGTTACAAATCTGTGTTAAAGGGGGTATTATGAGGAGTTTTTGAAAATAAAAAGAGATAGGGACAGAGGAGATAAAAGAGTAATCGCCAGAAAACCTATTACAACTAAGCTTTGTTTCCTTTTCTCAAAAGTTTGTGCTGCCGACAATGGGAGAAATAACACTAATTTAAATGGAGAGAAATAAGAAAACAGTGGGAAAATATATTTGATGAAAGGAAATGTTGTAGATAATAAAATTTTAACCTGATTTTGCTCTTTACACGCCTAAATGGAGTGAATGGACTCTTTATGCCATTGCAGCAAAAGATGGTGTGATTATTCCACTTCAGAGCAGTCTGGAGTCATAGGACTGCCACAAACTTTAGGTGTGTATTTGAAATTTGGGACAAGTTGAGGGGGTGTTTGTGTCTTATCCCTTTAAGTATATGACTTCCTTTGCTTCGTTCCCACTCTTTATGCTGGTTTGTGATATGTATTTGTGTACGTTATTAAGTTGTAACCACAAAATATGATGGGTGTATGGAGTATGAGGAACAGCGCATCTAATTTTTGGTGTGGAATTGGATTGAATTCTTAGCTTTTTCAAAATTAGATTTACATTTACGAATCTGCAAAGAATACAATTATCACAATTTATTATGGTTAAAACATCATATTTGACAATGACGGTCAAAGAAAAATTGTTGATTGCTCAAATAGTAATAATGATGTTCTTTTGGGGCAAATGGGGTATTCTGTAGAACTTATTGTAGACATATTAACTCACTGAAAGGATCTATTATGTGCTTTCTGGGCATGGTTTAAAAACTCTTCCTTGTCCTCTTCATGCTATAATTTGAAGAGTAGCATGCTTAACCCAATATAATTCGCAGAAGAAGGGAAACCATGTTAAGTAATAGATGTTATCTTTGTGAAGAGAATCTGGAATCACTCGGTTTAACGACTCTTCTTTGTCCTCTTCATACTATAATTTGAAGAGGAGCATGCTTAACCTAATATGATTTGCAGAAGAAGGGTGTTTCATGCTAAGTAATAGATGTTATCTTTTTGAAGAGGATCTGGAATCACTCAATCACCTATTTATTCATTGCAAAGTGGCTAAGCTGCTGGGAGCTCCTCCTAAATCTGTGCCGTGTAGTCTGGGTAATGCCTTCAGATGTTAGAAGTCTACTGGAAAGCTGGAATGGGCATAAGATTACAAGTATCCAGAAACAGTTATGGAAGACCTATCCCTGTGTATTTTCTGGACCATTTGGAATGAGAGAAGAACCATATTTCTGGAGTCAAGAACTTGCATCTTCAAAAACTGTTACTTTTGGTGTGAGGGGAATCTGCTAGACAATATGGATCAGAATATGGATTTCTTGGATTCTCTTGGGAATTATGTAACTTGAACTTATTGTATGATGTTTGTTTCTGTACTTTTCTGCACCTTCTTGGTACTTCTATTAATAAAACTTTTACCTTGTAAAGAATTGATTCTGCCCTTTTAAACTGCCTGTTCTATTGTGAACATACTGCCTTCTTCATATTGACGTTATAGTGTGTTGATGCAACTATAATACCATTTATGAATCACTTTTAACATTTTAAAAATTTTCAGCACAAACCAAATGCAAAGGATTGAGAAATTATTTCAGCTCAGTAGAGACGACATGGAGTTATTGGCGAAGCAGGAATACGATGTTCAGGTTGTTCGTTGAATATAATAACTTGCCCTTGAGTAGCTATTCTGTATTCATGGTGTTTGTTTTGTTAAATTTCAGGCTTGGTGCATGCTTCTCAATGACAAGGTAGAATTTAGGATGCAGTGGCCTCAGTATGCTGATTTGCAGGTCAATGGTATGCTCTACTCTGTCTTGCTTCAGTTATATAATCTTGACCCATGCAGAATTAAGTGCTGAAAATATATCCTTCTCCAGTAATTCATTCTGGGTCCGGCAACATATTCTGTATATTATGTGTTAAATATGTTTCATCTTTCCGATGCAAAGGCCTGGTCAGCCTTGTTATAGAATACGCAGTTGTAGAACTCACAGGCACAAGCAAACTTGAAACAGTGTTTTTGACTTTTATTTGTACCCTTCTCATGTTAAATATATTTTCTGTCTTTGTTCTTGTTTATTTTCTCCAAAAGCAATCTCCATAGACATGATAAAAACTGTTTCACTTCTAATTTTGTTTAGGAATTTTTTGCCAGTTCAGTAATTTTTATTATATTTGAACCAACAGGAGTTCCAGTACGTTGCATAAATAGACCTGGCTCACAATTATTAGGTGCAAATGGTCGAGATGATGGTGCAATAGTGAGTATTTTATTTATGCATACCTTTCTATCTTCCTAGTTTTTTGGGAGGAGCAGATTAGTTGTACGTTTATGTGCTGCTCGTGGTTGCCTAAGGCAAAACTATCTGTGACTATACTTTGTAGTTGTATTTCATGCTTGCTACTTGCCATTTTTTGGTTTTTGTATCGACATATATACAGGACAGCTTTTGTTTTCCTGAATGTTCCTCTCAAGTTAATGTCTTGCTGTTTTGACAGATCACATTATGCTCCAGAGGTGGAATGAACAAAATTTTGTTAACAGGATGTGATGCTCGTATCTTTTGCTTTGGAGTTAGACTTGTACGGCGTCGTACTCTCGTACAGGTAGGCAAATTTCTCCAGTTACACGTAACTTATTTGTTTCAAAGGCTGTTGCATTTTAAGTATTTCGCAGAAGCTTGTGATTATATTTTTGGGAACAATTTATTGTGTATGTTATCATTTCATCTCATCATCTTCTCTCTTTTATAGTATTGCACCATAGCTGCTTTATGTGTTTCTAAGAATTGTGCACTATATCTTCCCTAGTGAGCAGTAACTGCTTTTATTTCTGAGATTCTCAAAAACGAGTCAGAGAACTTCTGTTTCTCAGACATGTCTTGAAGTAGGCTCAGGCAACTGCTTGCTATTCATCTCTTGAGCAAAGTTCATCTGGGGGATGTGGAGTTTGGGCATATGTAGTTGTAATTGAGTTTTTTTTTTCTAAATTTTTTTTAAAGCTATTTTCTATTATTACTTTTATTCCCCTGCTTGTAGTATATTTCTGATCACTTTACATCTAGTTTGACTATTAATAGACATGTACATGCACCTGGTCCTGATGTATTAACCCTTTATGGTGGTGTCTGAATAAAATTTTGTTTTCTTTTTAGGTTCTCAATATTATCCCTAAAGAGCTAGATGGTGAGGCATTTGATGATGCTCTTGCTCGCATTCGTCGTTGCATTGGTGGGGGAACTGCCACTGAAAATGCTGACAGCGACAGTGACCTCGAAGTGGTTGCGGATTTTATTACAGTCAATCTTCGATGCCCTGTAAGCAAATTCCGACATTGAAATCTTCTTTTTTTTCCACTGCCCTTTTCCAATGTTCTAATGTTTAATTATTGCATAATCTCTGCTCCACTTTCCTGTGGTGTTGGTCTTCTCTTTCATGTATTCTCTCTCATTGCCAAAAGAAGAAAGTGATTGATATTTATTTAAAATTTGGCATTTTCCTGATGAGTTTCACTATCTTCACCTTCGTAGCCTGCTTTTATGCTATGGTTGCATCACACATAGTTTTCTTTTTATGGGGTATATCCTTACACTCGCTCTCTCTCCCCCTCTTCCTATTTACCTTTGGTTTAAAGTAGACAGTCAAGCTGCAAAGTTGGCAATAGCTTACTCCTAGAAATCTTCCTCACATGCAATCAGAGCAATTGTAATGCACATTTTTCCAGCAGTATGCATGATTTAGGTTTTGATTTGATTGTTGAAACAAGAAACAATGGGGTCTATTTCTTCGAAAAAGCGTTGACTTTTCTGTTTTTGAGGCATCACCTTATCAAGTCAGATGATGAACCACAAATCAGCAGAGGGTTTAATAGATGCTGTTGTTTCTCCAGCAGCCAGAACTTAGGCTTAGTGAAAAGAACACAACATGCGATGTCTGGGGTAGGTACATAACTCACATCATGAGTTCAATCCTGCCACGGATAAGTTGGTACTTAAATGGAGGACAGTTTTGGAGCCCCCCCCCCCCCCTCCAAAAAAAAAAAAAAAGAAAGGGAAAGAGATTTATTGTTGACTCGCCTCAAAATTCCAGCTCCTGTTATTATCTGGAAAAAAGAGAGATAATTGTTCCTATCTTAAATTTGTATAATTTGCTTCCATTGGATTTGGTTATTTTGTTTGATGGTTTCTTGCATGTTTACCACTTTGTGAGGCAGCATGAATCGCATTATGATTTTCTCATGTGCATCTATGTGCAGATGAGTGGTTCAAGAATGAAAGTTGCCGGAAGGTTCAAACCTTGTGTACATATGGGCTGCTTTGATCTTGACATTTTTGTTGAAATGAATCAAAGGTCGAGGAAGGCAAGTAACTATGCCCCAGGTTTACGTGTCTGTCAGGCTTAGATAAAAATCTCTGTTGTGTCTGCTGTTATTTAGTAACAAATGTTATTGATATGATGTAGTGGCAATGCCCAATCTGTCTCAAGAATTACTCTCTGGAGCATATCATTATAGATCCGTATTTCAATCGGATCACTTCTCAGGTATGTGTAGTAATTATCTGTGATTTTACACTTTCTTAGTCTTGTTATTTATTATTCACTTCCCAGGTATGGCTAGTTTTGCTTGTGATCTAACTATGTTAACCTCATTATTCTTTTTTTTGTTTCTTTTTGGCTTTTCTGGTGCAGCTGCAAACTTGTGGAGAAGAAGTGTCGGAAATTGAAGTGAAACCTAATGGTTCTTGGCGTGCAAAGGCAGAAGGTGATCGAAGGAGTATTGGTGATCTCGGACGGTGGCACTTACCTGATGGTACTCTCATTGAATCTCAAGATATAGAGTCAAAACCCAAGCCTGGAATTCTTAAGCACGTTATACAGGAAGGAGGCTCTGAAAGCTGTGGACTTAAAGTTGGGTTGAAGAAGAATAGAAATGGTTTGTGGGAAATTAACAAACCTGAAGATATGCAGACATTTCCACAAGGAGATGGAGTAAGAGAGAACGTAGAAAATCATGTTCAAAATATCATTCCCATGAGCAGCAGTGCCACTGTGAGTGGCAAGGAAGGTGAAGATCCCAGTGTTAATCAGGATGGTCTCGTTAACTTTGATTTCCCTACCAATGGGTTTGAACTTGAAACCATTTCTCCAAATTTTGCCCCAGCATATGGTTGTAATGACCGGAACCCCCCAGCACCAGCTAGAGGTGCTGAAGTTATTGTCCTAAGTGATTCTGACGAAGAAAATGAGCCATTCATCTCTTCTGCATCCATTTACAATAACAACCATACCAATGCACCTGTAGTCTCTTTTGCGGGTAGGCCTAAAGGAATTTCAGCTTCTTGCCATGACAACCGAACACTTGTTAATGATGGGAATTCATGCCTGGGGCTGTTCAATGCAAACGATAATGAATTTGTGATGAATATGTGGCCTTTGCCTACTGTTAACCAGGAGGGCCCAAGCTTTCAGTTATTTGGTTCAGCTATGCACCAGGGTTCTATCAACCGTGCAAGCTCTACCAATGGCTACTCGTTGGCTGCAGACACTGGCATTGGATCTTGTACTCTTCTTCCTGAATCTTCTGTTGATCATATGAATGCTGTAATGAATGATGGTTTAAATAACAATACCGTATTATGTGACGGTATTCAGGGATCACTTCATATATTTCTTCCTCTACCATTAAATGTATCAGTTGAGGCTGATGTGCGTCAGCCAGGTGTGTCAACTGGCGTTCACACTGAGGATTGGGTTTCACTTAGGCTTGGCGCAGGTGGGGGTTCTGCAGTTGCAAATGGGTTGAGCTCAGGGAAGCCGCTGCAAACCAAAGACTCTTCCTTGAACGCATTGGCTGACACTGGTATGTCCCTATTTATAGATATTGTGTTGGAGATTAGAAAGAGAGAGCTGAGAAATGTCAACATTCACATTATATATGCATTTACACTGTATTAATACTTCTAATTGCAACAAATATTATTTAGGGTAAATAGACCACAATTATTTTTTCTGTGACTAGTCATGTTTGAATGCATAATATGATAAGTTGAAAAACTCTAATATAAGGACATACATGCGCCTACAGTAGCATTACGGAACTCCCATCCTATTATTACTTTTTTGAAGTAGTTCTCAATGTGATGAAAGATGTTATAAGTGAGATAAGATATGTTGTCACAAGTATTCTTCTCCTTTGTTCTTCTGTTGAAGTTATCTGAACCTATTTTTAATGATGCTACTTTATGCACAGCTTCATTGGTTGTTGGTGTGAATGACGAAGTATCAATGACGAGCAGTAGGAAAAGATCAGATGGTCCATTTAATTTTCCTCGCCAACGTCGTTCTGTTAGACGGAGATGTCTAAATAATGATTCAGACACTGAATAGGGAGCCAATTGCACATATGAGGAATAATGATACTTGCTGCAAAAATGAGGATCCAATCACATGATATCTTGTTTGTAAGATCGATCTTGTCTGAATCGATCTTTTTGTCTTGGAGATGAACATGCATCTACCAACAGAGAAACTACCTTCAACTCCTGTGCTGGAAGTTCTCCAGCTTTTGTATTCTATTGTCTGGACTCGGAATCCCCCGCTCCCATATCCTGCCTGGCCATATTCTTCATTTCATTTTGTTGATGATGCAAGTGAATTGTACATTTGGATAGCTTGAATAGGGCAAGCTAATAGTACATTTTGATAGCTTAGCTAGGTTTAAAAAATACTAGCAACAGCAGTTGGTAATTACTGCTGGATGTAAAGTAGCAAAGGAATAGGGGCCTATAGCCTGTAAATCTTACTACATTGAGTAATTTATAGACTATAGCATTTTGGAATTTGTGTTTCTCCTGTTGAGTACTCTTATAGTTAATCATTGAGATGATGGTTAAATCTCAACCATAATCAAAGGCTAGCCCCAACCAAATGTCAACTTCCTCAGATTAGGGAACCTTGGGAGAGCTGTAGAGACTCCAACTATCATTCCCTAGATCTGACAAACTCATTCTGTTTTTACCTTGAGATATTCAGATTATGAGTTTTAGCAAAACTTCATCATGATGGTAAACTTTTATCTCCAAAAATCACTAGTTTTCAACTCAAGTATCCGTCCAAACTATTCAACTAAGTCCTGAATAACCCTAGAGACCTATAGCAATTTTCAAGCCTCGACTTCGACTATGTTAACCCAAAATATTGACATTAGCCAAATTCCAACTTTTAACTTTTTTGGTTTTGTCTACGAAACACATGGATCGACTAGTGTCACCCATCCCACAAGTCATAAAACATGTATTATGCCTATGGAAAGTGCCATTTTAAGGGGGGAAAAGTCCTAATACTTGAATCATTGCGCGGATTGTTAGACTTCTTGACGTTGTTCACCTTTAAATTTTAATTAGATCAAGCTTCAAATCCTTGCACCATATTTTTTTAAAAGAAAAATTTGCACAAAATTTGTTCATCATCTCCTTCAGTAGTTCCTGATTGAAACATCTAAGCATTGATGACCTGGGGTTTAAAATATTATGCATGTTCAAAGACTTAAATCATCTTTAATTTTAAAAAAGAAATATAAGACTTAAAAGTCTTATTCTTGCACTGTGTATCGGTCGGTTCGGTTTGGTTTTGAACTGTGTATCGGTTTGACTTATTGGTTATCGATTTGTAGAGATGCTACCATTAAAATATTGACATATCGGTTATTGATCATTATCGATTTAACCGTTAAGATTTGACACAAAAATAAATTAATTAAAAAATCACTTAGAAACAAGGTGACAAATCAAATGAATCATGTACATGAGTACACAAGTTGCATCTTGCTCAAAAACAAACACTTTTACATTGTAGAATAACCAAGATTTTGAGATAGCTAGAAATCTTTTTAAATATCGATACGGTTTAAAAAAATCTTGCATACGCCACTGCCATTAGGAATGATGATAAAATAAGTTAGCTAGCTACATCACAAGTGGTCATTGGTAGCTCTGTCTTAAATATTATATTATTGTCTGCTGCCATTTCTTACTCGTCTAGATGATTTTGATCTGTAAACCTATTTGTAAATTAATTAATGATCCACTTTTTTCAACCCTTCTCTTTATTATGATCATTAATTTTAGTCTAGAAGAGAAATTATGTTTGCATGTGTAAGCAAGATTGGATGAATTTTACACTATAATCCTTGCATACAAAATCAAACAACCAAAAACAAAAAATAATGGCTTTCTAGAAATTTTGACCCTAGTTTAATAATTTTTGAGCGACGATTAGAAGTTCAAAATCACTTATAGAATTTACTAAACAAATAGAATAGGGGTAGAATATACATGGTATACCTGGCAAGTCAGCCATTTATATAAAGTGTTATATTATACTATTTTTAGTCAATCAACTCCCTCCAAATTGTGGAATTCAAGTTAAAGTCAGCAAAACAACTACTTCAAATGCCTTTATCTGGGACAGTCATATCTCATCTCATAACCCAGTCAAAAAACCATAATAAGACCTTCACTAGTATTGTTTTTTCTACAAGAATAAATAAAAATTTTCCAACGTATCATATGATTTTCATTCTTTAAATTAAAGTAGTTATTTTTTTTCTAAATTTAGAAAACAAACGAAATTCTAGAATTCTTCCTGGAAGCAAACAATACTTGTGCTAGTAATTGGTTAGACCATTAATAAAAACTTAGTTAGAAGCCTAAGTCAAGAAACTACGAACCAAGTGATGGACCCCTCTACAAGATTGTGGGGAAAATCTTTGTGATAATAATTGCAACATCTCAATATCATTTTTTCTATGTCCAATTAGACTTTGTCGTCATTTGATCTCTTCTACTCAACCCCGTCTGTGATTCATTCAACCTCTTTAACCTATAATAAACCGAAGATAAGATTTGCTTCGTCAAAAACTATATGGCTGGAGGAGGATCCAGTTCGAGTCCTTCTCGCACTCTTTTAAACACTCCAACTTGGGCTCTGGCTACTGTATGCTTCATCTTTATTTTCCTTGGAATTTTCATTGAACACTTGATCCATCTTCTTTGTCATGTAAGCAACTTAGATTTTAGTTTAGTTTATATTGCTCGTATCCTTTTAAAAATATTGTTGAATTCTCTAAATATACATAACGTTTGGATGATATCTGACAGACATTTAACAATATTTTTTAAAAGAAAATAATATAAAGTATATGAGATTTAATTATGAGTTACTTAATTTGCATTTGCAACGTTGGTGAAGTGGCTCAAAAAGCATAGGAAGACCGCTTTGTTCGAAGCTGTGGAGAAACTCAAATCAGGTCATATATCTAATTTTACATTTCTTTAATTTGCTTACTCCAAAAAGTGAATAAATTGACTATTTATGTGAGAGAATTTTTTGCATCTTTTTTTTTTTTTTTTTAATGTGGACAAGATAAAGAAAAAGTTTCTTAGTCTATCATTTTTTTGATGATATCTATGTATAAAAAATATATATATTCGTCAAATATTTTAATCGGTTGAACTAGATCATCTATTTTATTTTTCAGATTACTTATTCCACTTCTTAAATGTAGAGATTATTACCCTATTTGGCCATACTTTTGAAAAGACAAAAGTGTATATTTTCTTTACAAAATCTTTATTTTATATTTGGAGTATCAACTATCAAGGTGTTGACTAAAGCATTTAAGTTGGAAAATGAGTAGTAATTGTTTTAATAGTAACATCAGTTGTTTTTTCAAAAAGCTTAAAAGAGGTAATGGTAATTGCTTTCAATTTTTTTTTTTAAAATCTTGATCAAACACAAAATTTATGTATTATGGAAATTGATAAAACTCTTTGACCATTTAATTTGTTTTTTATGTGCAGTGTTGATGCAACTAGGATTTTTATCTCTATTATTAGCAGTAATACAAAGGCCAATATCCAAAATATGCATACCAAATAGAATAACAAACTCCATGCTTCCTTGTAATCGTGTTCTACTCGATTCTACAAAAAGCATCAATTCAGAAGATCATTGTGGCTCCAGAGTATGTGACACTTTCCAAATTTCGAGAGTCAAAGAAAAAAAATCATGATTTTTCATATACTCTTATGTATTTTTGATTATCAATTCTTATGAGTTTACACAGTACATTTTATGCAGTATAATAAAATTTAGAATTTTCATGTCTGAATTCACAATCGACACATTAAAGAATTTGACTATTGACTTAATACCAACGATGACGTATAAATTATAACAAAGATGGTATATGTTTTGATTGTTTTAATTTTTGAATAAACATGTTCTCTTTCTTATTTTAATATTTTTTTTAAAAAATTATTTGATAATTATTTTCCAGGGGATGACTTCTTTCATGTCACAAAGTGGAATTAATCAGCTAAACAACTTCATATTTGTGCTAGCAGTCATGCAGATTGTGTACAGTGTTGTCACAATGGCTTTAGGAAGAGCCAAGGTACACTATTTCTAAATAATACTCCTTCATCTCATGAAAATATTATTATTTAGAGAATCTAATATATAGTTTTTTTTTTATTATAATTATAATTTTTTCAAACTAAAAAAAATAAAAATCATTGGCTATGTCTAGTTATACTATTTTTTTGTGTAATGTTTAAATATATAAATTTTATTTTAAAAAAAATTTAAAGGATATATGCTCATTATACATATTAAAATTAAGTATTTTAACTCTTATACTTTGAATTTTTTCGCATATATTAATATAGAATATTTGTTCTTCTTAGTTATTGCACTTTGCAATTAATTGGAAAAATCAATATCTAAGAATTAAATGTTTTAGTTATTGCGCTTTGCAATTTTCAATTTTTATTTTGGAACGCATACTTTCCTTTGTAATCATAGGGGAGACGAGAAAAAAAAAAAAGATTAGATAGTTATAGAGTAGATTTAGATTTTACCAACACGGTATACATTCTTGAACACTTGATCAAATTCTTAATAAGTTGATATTTTGCATTGATCTTATATATTTTGTTTTTCTTAACTTTTGATTGATCATGCAAAAATATAGAGATAGCGAAATTGATCTCAATCAATCAATTTAAACAATTAGAGTCAGTAATATTTTGAACAATTCTAAAAAGAAAATTTTGTGAATCAAGTATATCCATTAAAAAAAACTCAAAATAAGGGGATATGAAAACCAAAAATAAAAATAATAAGAGCTAGGAATTGGGACTATAGTTAATGGGTCGATACATTAAATTGTCTGGACCAGTTGATTAATTCAGCTGTCAAATTAATTTTTAATATTGATTGATACTAAATCTGTCTGTATCAATTTATTTATGTTACTTTACTTTTAAATCTGTTTCAAACAATTTTTTTTTGATAATTCAATTCTAATTTTACATATGATATATTTAAGATCACAAATTTAAAAAATATTTTAATATATTCTAATATCTTTATTTAATTTAGAGTCTGTTTGACATTACTGTTAGGAGCCTAAAAGTGTTTTTTTGAAAAATAAAATATTTTTTTCGAAAAATTGGATGTTTGACGAATCCTTAAAACTTCTTTTAAATTGAAGTTGAAACAGTTTTTTCTGTTGTGGGGAAGAAGCTTAAAAATTCTGCTTCTTAAAAAAAGCAGAAACATAAGCAGAAAATTATTTTTTTGAAGACTAAAATACCCCTTCATATATACATATTTACCAATATATCCTTCATTAATTTATTAGCATATCTCATAAGTTTGGTAAAATTTCATTCAAAAAAAATATTTTATATTTTATTTTATGTTTATATATTATTATTTTATATTTTATGTTTTATGTTTTATATATTATTTTAGTTTTATTTTACAGAATTAGAAATAAAGGTAACAATAAAATTTTGTAGGATTAAAAATATGAAGAACTTTATTTATGTTTGTGGTAAATATTCGTATATAGTGTTTTAATTTGTGGAATGATTTTTAAATTTATTTTGCTGGATATTTTTAATTATTTTTAAATCATCATCTTAATATTTAATTAATTAATTTATGTATGTATAATATTGATCAGAAATTTGAATATGTACATTTTAATTAAAATTTATGTAATAGATATTTAAAATAGAGTTACCCTTCTTCGTAATTTGACTCTCAAAAATACTTTTTCAAAAAGATTAGCTAAACACAATTTGTTTATCAAAAACACTTTTCAAATGAATTAGCCAAACACAAATTGGTTTTTTTCAAAGTCATTTAAAAAAAATCATTTTAAAACTTCTAGAAATAAACAACTTTTATCAGCAATGTCAAACATGCTCTTAAATTCATAAGATTTAAAATATTATTTATTTTATCAAACTTCGTGTCAAATTAAAATTAGACAAATAAATTAAAACATACAAAGTAATTACTACTAACAAGTATTAATATTTACTTAAACTTCTATCTATTTATCATATATATTCTTTTGATTAATTAATAGATGAAACGATGGAAAAGGTGGGAGGACGAGACGAAGACCATAGAATATATGGCAGCCAATGGTATGAATCTTCTACTTGCTTATAATAAGACAGATCGAAAATTTTAAAAAAACTTTAAATTTTTGAATAAGTTATATATTTGGTTGGTTAGTCAAAATATTTATAAATTAAAAAACTTGCTAAATATAGAAAAATACAAATTTTTAAACCAATCAAGTAGAAAAGTAAAAGATTTTAATTGAGATAGAGAGAGTATAACTTTTGATATATATATATATATATATATATATATATATATGTTTATTGTGTTTTATTTTATATCCATTCTTTATCCCATTTCATTGTTCTTAATGTCTTGTTGATGTTTTTTCCCCCACGTGTTTAGATTGCACGAAGTCATTGAGTCGAAATTCATTTATGAATCATCGTAGTTGAACCATCTTAGTAGTTGAATGTTACAACAAATTAAAGTTCCAATTTAAAATATAGTTACTATCTCAAAGGGTTACTGAACATCAATAATTTATCTATGAAAGTCAATAAATTTTATTTTATATTATTAAAATCACTCAACTTAAATATTTATATCAATAAAATTATCCGACTAAATTTATTAATAAAAAAATGTCATAACCAATTTTTTTTTTTTTTTATGCCATGTAATATGAAGCCCAAAAATAAATAAAATTAAAGAAAACTCACTAAGAAGCCAATAAGAACTAGAACAACGTGGAGAAGGCAGTAGTAGAAGCAATTCTCATTTTGCTATGCTAGATTTGTTTTAATGACAAATCTAGTTAGTGATTTTATTGATATCTATGTTTAAGCTGAGTGATTTTATTGGAGTTTTCGGCTAAAATCATCCCTCAATTATGACTCAAATCTAATGTACACCCTTATATTATCTAAGTGAGCAAAAAATATTCTTATACTATCCAAAAAATAACAAGAATCATCCTTCGGTCTATTTTTGTTAAGAAACTGATTGAACCAATAACATTTTTTTTTATAAATTTGGTCATGTCTTAGCCACGATGAGAAGATCAAAGTTACCTAAAAAGAATAAGGATATGGATAGAAAATGAATATTTTATTCTCATAATTTAAATTTTGTATGATGTTAGTTTATATGTTTTTGCATCATCAAGTAAATTGACCTGCAACAATACATAAGTTTTGAAATATTTATACAGTAGGTTCCGATGGTTAGAAAGATCATGTAAAAAAATTAATTTTAAAAATATTACGTGCAACTATTTAGAGATTTTCTTTAGTAAAAAAAATATATAGTACGTATATACTATATATACAATGCAATTCACATTTTGTACAATATACAAAAATACTGGAAATTTAGTGAAATTGTGTAGGTATTTTGTTGTTAAAATTAAATAATACTAATTACTTTATTTGAAATTTTTGAAATTGGAGTTGTATTTGGCCATATTTTTTACAAAGAATATTTAGAATTTGAATATATTTTGTTTGAGTATGATTTAAACCCTCAATATCTAAAAATTGAACAAATCACCCAACTTGACTAGCTTAACCATGTGTACATATATTCATTTGACTTGACACATTTTTTTTTGGTGGCGTGAGTTTTTTTTAAAAAATAGACAGAAGGATGAATCTTGCAACTTTTTGGATAGTGCAAGGATGTTTTTTGTTCACTTATATAACACAATGATGTACTTTAGGTTTAGGTCATACTTCAAGGATGATTTTAGCCAAAAACTCTATTTTATTGATACAAAACAAAGTTTAATGAGTTTGCTAGATAAACTGTAAAAGTTGAATGAACTTTTAAGCTATTAACTCATTTAAATATTAGTATTTCAAAGTTTGAAAATAGAAAATGACTTCTTGATTTGATTAAATATAATTCATATCTGATTTATATTGTTGAATTCTAATTTTGATACATTTATGATCAAATGTAACCATACATTAGATCCTAATCGATTCAGATTTACAAGAGAAACCACATTTGGTCGACGCCACATGAACAAGTTTACAAACACTTCTTCTCTGCTTTGGATTGTAAGTATAATTTATTTATTTATTTGACATTTTATTAGGCAAAAAGAGAAGCATTTTGGGTATTAATATTTCTGATTTGGACAATAAAATGACAAAAATGATCCCTTAGGTTTGAGTATTAATTTTGAGTGTTTTTTTTTTAAATGTATTTTTTGCTATTTTACCATTAATACCATTATTTTTACCAATGGGACAGAAATGTTTCCTGCGGCAATTCTTTCATTCAGTAGCCAAAACTGACTATCTTACATTACGCCATGGCTTCATTACGGTCAGTATTCCCTTCTTCTTCTTCGATTTTAAATATTAATCGTTTTCATAAATTGAAATTGTTTAAAATATTTAACCAAGTGAGATGTTTAAGATGATTAAAGATTATGTTAAAACATCGTTCTCTTAACATTTTATCAAATCAGAATGATTGTTATATAGTAAATAAGACTCTTGATTCATTCAATTCAGTCGTCCATATGTAACGGAAAGTCCTCAAAAAAGATTTGATTGCGATCAATTATTATCAAATCATTAACCCTATTGTCTCACTAAGTATGTATTTTCTTTTTATTTACTCAATCAATCAAAATGTGTAGGCACATTTACCTTCCACCAACGCCTTGAATTTTCAAAAGTACATTGAACGATCTTTAGAGGATGATTTCAAAGTCGTCGTTGGCATAAGGTAATAAATTAATAACAAGCTTCGACTCCAACTTTTAAAGTTGTGAATTAATTTCTTCCTTTTATATCTAGATAACTGACGAATAATCAATTATTATGATCTAAAGTAAAATTTTAACCAATAAAAATCAATTGCTAGAAAAATTATGACAATCAGTCAAACTAATATATGCAAAATCTTATATAGACCTCTTGCATAATAATAATTAGTTACCTCTACACTGAGATCTCCTCTTATTTATTTATTTTTACTTGAACAGTCCTTTCATGTGGTTAATAGTGGTCATCTTCTTGTTAGTTGACGTCCATGGTATGTAACTAATAATTATTATTTAGCCCATCAATAATTAATACTTGGACAAATTTTCCACCTTACATATAATTAATTCATACAGGTTGGAACATCTATCTTTGGGTATCATTTCTCCCACTCATAGTAAGGAAATACAAAATTCTACTCTTAATTTCACTAAAAATAAATAATAAATATTGGTGATATATTTTATTCATTGCTAATTCTATTTAGCGAAAAATTATTAAATTTACTAATGGTTGATTTTATAGACAGTGTTGGTGATTGGGACTAAGCTGGAGACAATTGTGGCCCAAATGGCTCTTCAATTGGAAAATCAAGAAAATGTCATCATAGGATCCCCATTGGTGCAACCTAATGATAGTCTATTTTGGTTTAATCAACCTCAATTTGTTTTGACCCTTCTCCACTATACCCTTTTCATAGTAAGCAATTTCTCCCTTCAACTCTTCTTCGTAATTAGAGGTGTCAAATAGATGGATTGAGTTAAATTTAGACGAATTAAAATGAATTGAGTTAATAAATAAACAGATTAAAAATTATTTGAGTGAAATGCGCTAAAAGTGGATCATAGCTCAACCTGCCTAATCTTTACCAATTTAAGTACTATCTTAGTTTTATTAGGTACAAGTTTAAAAAATAAAAAAAGACTATGAATTTTGTGGTTTTTAATCAAAGATGTGAGGTCTTTTAAATTTTGTCCTGTTAGACTTGTTATGTACAATTTTATAATTGAAAAACTTATTAAATATAGAAAGAGACATTTTTTGAAACAAATTCTAAAAAATGCTTAAATTGGAATGACTTTTTTGTTCGTTATTTATAATTTTTTAATATCTAATATTATATGACTATATATATCAGTCCAAATTTAGATGGACTGAAATAGATTAGGCTAATTAGATGAGTTGAGTAATAAATAAATTTTCCCAATTTTCAATAGATTGCATAAATTATATTTTTATGACCTATTTTCCACCTTTACTGATAACTTCTCGTACTTTCTAATTTATTGATCTCACCACTTATGTTAGAACAAGTATTAGTTATCTTTTAAATTATTTGATCGTTCAGATATTTTTTTATATTATCAATATATAAAAATTAAATTTTTCATTTTATTTTACAATATGCTTATAAAAAAAATAAAATATCATTTTTTTTCTCCCTAACAATTAACTCACCTATCTATTTACTTTGTGTTCCATGACTTGATTGTAGAATGCATTTGAACTGGCCTTCTTTATTTGGGTGACGGTAAATCTCTACCCTAATTGAACAAGAAGCAGAATAACTTGTTCTTATAATTAATTATTAAACTAACAACTCATTTTCTAATTTTTTTTTTTTGTGAAAAAAATAAAAATTTCAGTGGCAATTTGGAATAAGCTCTTGTTATCATGAGCATGTGGAGATCATTGTTGTCAGGGTAGTTTTGGCGTAAGTCATAATTCCATCCTCAATTTCTTTATCAGAATTATTTTCTCTTAATATTTTTAGTATCTAAAGGAGACATTTTGTCAAAATAGAATTATAATTTATTTGAGACAATATAGTTAGTCTTTAGGTGATCTAGTAGGCGTTTGATCATGAAAATTGAATATTACATATTTTATTTAGAATGTTTAAAGTTGGAGTTGTGTTTGAGCCTTCTTTTGCAAAGAATATTTAGAATTTGAATGAACTTTTTCTAAATATAGTTTATACCGCTAATTTGAATAAACTAGCATAATAAACCTACTTGATTAATTTATCTTAAACATATAATTAAATCTGCACTAAAAGAGTAATATCTCATAATAGATAATCAAATAATATAATGTTATAGATTAAATATTAGATACAACTATTACAAATATTTTTTAACATATCATATACATTCTTATATATTGGAGCGTCCACAATTATATTTGATCAATCGATCAAAAATAAAAGAATCCTAATTCTTTGCACATATGTGGGACATGCAGGCTGATGGTTCAAGTACTTTGTAGTTACATTACTTTGCCTCTCTATGCCCTTGTTACTCAGGTTTGTACTCCATAAATCATACTTCCATAATGAATTGATTCACTTTACAAACCCATTTTAGTTAATTAAGATTTTTCTTTTAGAAAATTTAGGAATTAATTTAATTGATTGATAGGTTTATCGATGGAAGAAGAGATAAGACATAAGTACCTCCCTAAATTATGACCGAAATATCAGAGACACACTTTAACTAAACTAAGGTCCTATTACCTCCTGAACTCATTTGTTTTGTAATTTTGTACGCCTTTTAACTTACGTGGCACACTTCGTGACTCTATGTAGTTGAGGCACGTGGGAGATGTTTGGATGCCACGTAGACCAAAAAGATGTACAAAATTACAAAAAAATGGGTTCAAGGGTAATAGGACCTTAGTTTAGTTAAGGTGTGAAACTGGGATTTCGGTCATAGTCTAAAGGGGTACTTGTGCCTTATCCCATGGAACAATAATGAAACTTTATGATGACTTTTATTTGTGCACCACTGATTAAGTTGCATCACAAACGATTTCTTTTATTCCAACGTTGAAACAAATTTTTTAAGAGCTTGAAGCATGTATATATAATAATACTATCCTTAAGGATGTTTCATCGGTTACGTGACCTGATAATAATATAAAAGTTCTATTTCATGATTTATTTAACTTTTGTCCAGATGGGTTCACATTTCAAAAGTGCATTGTTGGAAGAACACATAACACAAGCCATAAAGCATTGGCACACAGAAGTGAAGAGGAAGAAAAAGAACAAGCTGCAGGGATTAGAGTCATCAGTTGCTACGACACAAATTACTTCTCCAGAAATAAAATTAAGTGCTAGTGCTCATGAAATTCAAGAGATCTCTGAAGAATCACCAAAAGTAAATATAGTCCATCAAAATGAATCACAAATAGGTGTTGATTGAAAGAGCAAAATTAAAAGAAAAAATATAAGTTTTTTCACTATCTAGGAATTAAATACTTGGGGTTGTTTGGTAGGGTGTATACGAAAAATGCTAAATAGTGTGTATTAGAAATGCTTACATTATTTCTTATGTATTATTTGGTTTGGTGTATTAAAAATAACACACAGTGCATAACATTTTTTTGAAAATAGTATTTACAAAGATACCCTCCACATATATGGTAAAAAAGATGTAAAAAAGGTTTTGAGGGGCAATTGGGTCTTTAATCATGTACACTCCTCAACACACAATCAAGTGTATACCTAATGCTTGCATTAGTTATACATATGTTGAAATAGTGTACCAAAAAGGTACTACTAATATACAAAGTTAATGCATGCATTATTTCTTCTAATACACTCTACCAAATGACCCCTTAATCCCTTCCATTTGTAATACCTCTATTACAAGTCAACTAAACAATATCCCAACTGTCCACAATACAAACTAACCCTAGATGACAGGCTTCAACGACTACCTCTAGTCACAACACACCATGGCTACAACACACTATGGCTACTTCTATCCACAACTCGAATCTAGAAGATACGTGTAATGACACATTTTGTCATTTTTAAATTTTTTCATAAAATTACCATTGAGCCCCTCCTGATATCGACCCCCCCCCCCCCCAGTCATTTTTGATTGAATTTTGAAAGTTGGTTTCAAACTTTGAGGGTAAGTTGAGAAATTTGCAATTTTTTTAATTTAAAAGGCTAAATTTCTTAAAAAGTGATTTCGGTGTCTTTTGGAGTTCAAATGTTGGAATGAAATTCCGTCGATTCCATCCGTTCTGAAATGTGGAAATAAGACTAATAGAGTTGTGATTATTAAATTCAGAATCCTTTTGAGAATTTGAGGTCCTAAATTGGAAATTTGTGAAATTTTTAGCCATTGGGTTGACTTTGGTCAACATTGGGAGTTTTGGATGCTCTGATCGGAATTCTGAGAGTTCCATGGGATTTGGGGGATGATTTTAGTTCTAAGTGAGATCTTGGTTGAATTTCAAAGGTCCCGACCTTGATTTAGCCTTTCTAAATACTGTGTTCATTTCATGTGACTTTCACGAGTTTCGGGTCAAGAAGACCTCAAATTCGTATTTCGATGGTGGTTCCATTGTGTCCGAAACATCGAGTATAGTCTAGTTGTATATATGGTTTATGAGTATGGTGTTCCAAACGAATCCTGAGAGTCCATTCGATGATTTTTGAGTTGGATGTTTTTTTCTGTTCTATGTTGCTGAGGCCAACCCCTCCGCGATCGCAGAGAGGTGACCGCGTTAAGGGTGCGTTTGTGGAGCTCTTTTATGAGCTATCCATCCGCATTCATGGAAAGGGGGGCTGCGTTCGCAGAGGACCCCTAGACATAATATTTCTAAAAACCAGGGTTTCAACCACCATTTTTGAGTTTTGAGAGCTTTGGTGTGACTATTTGAACAAGAATTTTGAAATAAATATTTGGATAATGATTCCTAATCTTAAATCTTCATTTAATCATTATTATTTATGATTATAAGTGTTCATCAAGGTTTTGAAATGATAAATTGAGGTTTTTCTTCAAGAACCCAAGAACTTAGTAAAATAATGATTATGAACTGATTTTAAATCCTTTTTTGAAATGATTTTCACAAATGAGTTCAAAATGCCTTGGGTAATGTTTTCAAGTAAAGATTTTTTATTCAAACCCCATTTTCAAAATTGGGGTTTTGGGTTGATTTGACCCATTTTGCAAAATGTATGAATTGGGTGTTGTTACTTTCAAAATCTTATTATGATTACATGATTGAAATAGATTCTGTGGCTTTGGACGTTGTTCGAAAAGGAAAGACTCAATTCTTGAATTGACATTCTGATTGAACTGAGGCAAGTGATCTTCTAAAACTTGTAAAATTAGTAGAATCGTGTATTTTCCTTCATTGTATGTGTTGGGGAGTAATGAGAATGAGGTGATGGGTTCAATTATTCCACTTGATTGATATTAATGAACAAAAAAAGGGATTAATGAAAAAGGCAACTTGTCGATTATAATGCTTTGTGTATTGCCTTCTTGTGGACCCTATTTTTTTGATTGATGAAATGCTTTAATGGCATTATTTAGGACTTGAATTGCTTGAGTTGTTGTCTCTTTCTTATGGTGTGAAATTACTTATTTGCATTGATTGTTGTGCATCACGATTAGACATGTGATGAATATGTCGAAAGGAAATGTTTCAGGCAAGTGATATGATATAAAGCCGAAGGAAAATAGTTTTGGTTAGTGATATAATATCAAGCCGAAGGGAAATGGTTTTGGCTAGTGATATGATATAAAGTAGAAGAGAAATGGTTCCGGCTAGTGATATGATGTAAAGACAAACGGAAATGGTTTCAGTAAGTGATATTGTATAAAGCTGAATGGAAATGGTTTCGGCTAGTGATATGATATAAAATAGAAGGGAAGTGGTTCCAGTTAGTCATATTGTGTCGAAGCAAAATGGTTCAGGTAAGAGTTTGACTATTGTGATTTGATGCATTTCGTATACTTGTTACTTATGGTTAATGCACTTGATATTTGTGATTGATCCGTGTGACACTTGTGATTGACATACTTGATACACGTTGCTTGTTGAAATATGACTATTGAACTGTCGTTGTTAAGCCTTGTGAGTTGTATATAGTAAAATTATTAGGTTGAAGTTTTTCTATGCATGTTGTAGTTTGAGGAGGTTTGGTCAGGATGAAAGGAGTACTCGTTTTCTAGCTAGTTTTTCCTTGTTTATTTGATTACTTGTTGAGTACCGTGTTGGTTGGTACTCACTCCTTGCTTCTATACTTGTGTAGGTTCCGAGCCCAGTAACGTGTCATTGCTCTTCTTCTTCTCCTATTTTCGAGGCTTGTCAAAGGACTTTTGAGAGGTAGCTGCTTGTCATCCCGGTGGGACCTCTGATTTCTTATTTTATGCTTTGTTCTAAATGAGAAACAAGGACATTGAGACTTGTAATTATATTTTAATTCCGCACTTTTATATTAGTGGCTTGTACACGTGACAACCATATTTTAGGGTTATGTTTTTGTCAGGACCCAAACCTACACCATGGACTTGGCCGATACTTGATAATCATTGCTGGTCCCCAAGCAAACCCTTGGACTGGCTGACTACATAACAGAAGACTTACTCAAGCAATGATAGACTTAAAACAAAATTAAATCAGTTAAACTCAAATACTTATCTCATAAAATATGGAAAATACTCAATAGAAATACTTATAGTTTGTAAAACAACTCAAAGAGAGTAAATACTGAGAGACACCTTGACTTTATCTATCTATGAAGCCTCTATTATTAAAGAAGGATATCGAGATAAGACCCACGACACCTCAAAACTACTAACTAGAAAGTAAATATGAAGTCCTCCAGAATGCAAAGAGGCTCACCAAAAGCTAGCTGGAGTATAGAGTGATCTCAATAAAACTCCTATTGATGATCCTGAACACTTGTATCTGCATCATCAAATGATGCATGTCGAATGACATCAATACTTTGGATGTACTAGTATGTAATATAGCCGAATGAAATAACTAGATGAAAGGACTATAATAGATAAAATATACTCAAGCTGGATGTAAAGAAATACAGGATTTAAATCATTTAAAGCTTTACGGAATGCTTATTCATGTCTGAACTCACTATAATTGGTGATCTATTAAAATACACTTTAAATCTATTGGGAGATTCTCTAACTGACAACCATCACTATGAGTTATGCGATGATACAGTTTCTCGCCGATGCTGCTAGAACTGTCCTATACCGTGCCGGGGTATAGAACCTCTCAACTAAGTGGATTCAATAAGCAATAAGAATTCATCTAACAAGTATGATCCTTTACCCATGTTGGCAGACATGGTTTATGAAAATTTTGAGTTGTCTGAACTCATCCCTATATCGGTGCTCAATACTACATCCAATAATATACTCATGCTCAAATGTATATAACATACTCTTTCTCTGTTTTGAGGTAATTACTCAAAATACCCTCTTAAAAGAGGTAATGCTCTAAAGTATCTTTGAACTCTTGAACTCATAAACTCATTTAAAAATCAAAGTTTCTCTTTCTCAATGTAACAAAATGATACACTTGGGACTACTTAGTTCCCTTATACTCTTTCTCAAATCGTTTCTCAGATTCTTTTTCAAGAATCCTCTTTCCTTTCTCAGAACTCAGTTTAAAACATTTAGGTTTGTTTAATATTCTCAATAAGAAATCAATGAATACTCAGAGATAGGGTTCATGCTGAAGAAAAGACATAAGCGATCAACTCAAAAAATCTCAATGCATAATATACAATAACTCAATAAGTAGGAATAGAAATTCAATAATCAAGAACTCAAGAACTGAGAACTCAACATCAACTCATCTCAAGAATACTCAAATCGAAAGATAAAACCCTAGATTACTCTTTTACTAATTTGAAAGTAGATATAGGACATGAGGAAGAGCTAGTTCAACACTATGATACCCTTAAATACCTAGGAAGAACAAAATTCTTGGTGAAATTGATGGAAACTTAAAGAACGCTCAAAACCCTAACTTTTGTTTCTCCTCTTGGAATCCTACTCTAATGATTTGATGTAATGATCTGGATGGTCATTTTTTGCAATCCTTGTAAAATTGCCGTTTGATCTCGAGTCTTCTATGATTGAGTTTTGAAAGTTGGTTTTGAAATTTGAGTTAACAGTTCAGAATTTGGTAAAATTGTGTTGTTGAAAGGCTAAGTTGCTTAAAAGTGGTTTTTGGAGTCTTTTGGAGTTGCGAGTGTCAAAATGGAATTTCGTTAATTCTATCAGTCATAGAATGTGAAATTTGATATGTGAGAGTTGTTGGTTTTTGATTCAGAATCCTTTTGAAGATTTGAGGTCCTAAGTTGTGAATTTGTGAAATTTTAGCTTTTGGATTGACTTTGACCAACATTTGGGGTTCAGATGTTGGGATAGGAATTCTGAGAAATCTGCTGGATTCGGCGAATGATTTTACACCTAAGTGAGGTCTTGGTTGATTTTTTCAGGTCTCAAGC